CCATAGGGAGCTCCACCGAAGGCCCAAATGGCTGCGTCCGCATGCCGCCGCCACCCAATTTTGGCACACCCCTCACACGTTTCGTGGCCCCATAGGGAGCACCACCGAAGGCCCAAATGGATGCGTCCGCATGCCGCCGCCGCCCAATTTTGGCACACCCCTCACACGCTTCGTGGCCCCATAGGGAGCTCCATCTAAGGCCCAAATGGCTGCGTCCGCATGCCGCCGCCACCCAATTTTGGCACACCCCTCACACGTTTCGTGGCCCCATAGGGAGCTCCATCTAAGGCCCAAGTGGCTGCGTCCGCATGCCGCCGCCCCCAATTTTGGCACACCCCTTACACGTTTCGTGGCCCCATGGGGAGCTCCACCGAAGGCCCAAATGGCTGCGTCCGCATGCCGCCGCCGCCCAATTTTGGCACACCCCTCACACGTTTCGTGGCCCCATAGGGAGCTCCATCTAAGGCCCAAATGGCTGCGTCCGCATGCCGCCGCCACCCCATATTTGGCACACCCCTCACACGTTTCGTGGCCCCATGGGGAGCTCCACCGAAGGCCCAAATGGCTGCGTCCGCATGCCGCCGCCACCTCAATTGTGGTACACCTCTCACACGTTTCGTGGCCCCATAGGGAGCTCCACCAAAGGCCCAAATGGCTGCGTTCGCATGCCGCCGCCACCCCAGTTCGGCACACCCCTCACACGTTGCGTGGCCCCACAGGGAACTCCACCGAAGGCCCAAATGGCTGCGTCCGCATGCCGCCGCCACCCCATTTCGGCACACCTCTCACACGCTTCGTGGCCCCATAGGGAGCTCCACCGAAGGCCCCAGTGGCAGACCTCGCATGCCGCCAGCCACGACGACAGCCTCACGGGGGACCTCACGGGCCCGCTGGTGTTCATCGAGCCCCGCACGTCGGAGCCGTTCACCTTCCGCACTTCCAAGGTCACCCGGACGGGCTTCCCGTTTTCACACGGCAGGGTCATCACCACGGTGGCGTGCCAGGGGCGCACCATGCGGGAAGGCGGCGGGGCGTTGGAACGGCGCCACCGGGCAGTCTATGGCCGAACCCTTCGAACGCGAGCGGTCCGCAGCCGGACCTTCCCGGTCCCGTGGACTCTCGCCCTGGGCCGTCGGCTGTCTTGCGCGCCGCTCCCTCGACCGACGCCGCCCAGGCGTGATCCTGGACTGCGGCCGCCACGAGGTCGGGAACGGCATGAAGGAGGACGACGACTGGTGGCTGGAGCTCTACGTGCTGCTCTCGCGCGCCACGCGCCACGAGGATCTCCTGCTCATGCGGGCGCCGCTCATCGAGTTCTTCCTGGCAGGGCCGCCGGAGGGCTTGCGGAAGCAGCTGGGGCAGTTTGCTGCGCGCGCGAAGCGGTGCAGGAGGGAGGCTTCAGCGAGTTCATCCGCGAGGCCTGACCTGGGGAGCGGCCCCGCACGAGCCGGCGGCGCGCGCTGGTTGTCGCTGACGCTTGGATGACCCCAGCTCGTTGTCGGGATTTCTCGCCAGAGGATGACCGGCGCCTGTCGGGGGATTTCACCCAGATCGCGCCATTTTCGCACGCCTCGCCACGCAGTGCGGGGGCGCTATCCGTTGACTCAGAGTCGCAGTGGACAACCCCCGCGCGTCGATGGGATTCCCTCGGGATGACCAGACCGCGTCGGCGAGGACTTCCCAGGCACTTTCTCGCGGCGCCGCCTGCGCGCTGCATTCTGCGCGGCTCGCTGTCGGTCTGGAGGCAAAAACGTCTCCCCTCGTCTCTCGCTCCTCCTGCTTCCCGTCGCTTCTTGACCGCGCGCTTCCCCGTCTCGTTTCTGCCGGTGCTGACCTGCCTTCGACATCTACACGGTGTCTCCGTCACCTCTTCCTGCGTGCCCAGTAACAGGTCTCATGATGCGATGATGATACTGATGTGTTGGCTCGCCCCAGTGAGCTCTCCTCCTCCGCCCGCCACCTCCTGCCCGCGCTGCCCTGTGCCTCGTCCGTGCAGTGGCGCGGTGCCTATGAGAAAAGGGGCCTAGTTTGCGTGCCCCCTCCTTCGTCTCATATCCGTGCGGTACTCGCAGCTGCATATGGTTGGGTCCTTCGCCAGGCTATTTTTTTGTTTTCGTTCGGTTGCCTGGTTGCTGGGCTGCGGGGGGGGGGGGGGGGGGGGGGGGGGGGGGGGGGGGGGGGGGTGTTGCTAGCTGCGCGTCCTTGTGATCCGCCTTGGGTGCCAGGGGCGAGGCGGTTACAGCGAGCGCGCGGGACGCGTCCTTCATGGCCGCCTTGACCTTGTTGTTGTTGTTGTTGCTGCTGCTGCTGCTGCTGCTGTTGTTGTTGTTGTTGTTGTTGTTGTTGTTTTTGTTGCTGTTGTTGTTGTTGTTGAAAGCTGGTTTCTAAATAATAATCATTGTTGATGCCTGGGAACGGTTCCGCGTGCTCTCGCCTCGACGCCGGCTAAATTTTCTCTGAAAACGAGGCTCCCGCTCGAGCGTTGGCATGAGCGTAAATGTTGGCCCTTGGAGGCCCAGCTGCGACGACAACGGCTCCCGCTCGGTACTTCTTCACAACTTACCCCGAGACGCCCTGGCCAGAGAGGCCCCCGAAATCAGAAGCGGCGCTTTCGCTCGAGACGTCCTCGCAATTGAATTAAGTTGGTGGAGGCCCAGCCACGATGACAAGGGCTCCTGCTCGATATTTCCTCACGAGTTACTCGGAGAGCCCCTGGCCAAGAAGGCCCCCGAACTCAGGAACGGCGCTGTCGCTCGAGAGTTTCTTGTAAGTCAGGCGCGTTGGTGGAGGCCCAGACACGGCGACAAGGGCTCCCGTTCGATGTTTCTCCATAGGTATTCCGAGAGCCCCTGGCCAGAGAGGCCCCCGAACTCAGGAACGGCGCTCTCGCTCGAGATTTCTTCGCACTTCAGTCAGCGGCCGACAAGGAAGATATTCTTCCCGAAAGGGGGTGCAATCCAAAATGGAGGGGGGGGGGGCGGTATCGAGGGTTGGGGTATACGGAATACAAGACACGTGTGCCAGTAAGAGCGATCAATCTTCAAATGATTGTTGTGGTTGTTTTTGCTGTTGTTGTTGGCGTTGTTGTTGTTGTGGTTGTGGTGGTTGTTGTTGTTGTTGTTGTTGTTGTTGTTGTTGTTGTTGTTGTTGTTGTTGTTGTTGTTGTTTGTTGGTGTTGAACATTATTTATTCTAAAGAATAATTATTGTTGGGCCCCCTGGTGCGCGCCCCCCCTGCGCCGCCTAGGCCGCAGCTACATTTTCATCATTTTCGTGAGGAAGCCTCAGAAAAGAGGGTGTGTACAGGATCCGGTTGTTTTGTTGTAATCCGCTTTCCCTTGCAAAAAACAATAGAAAATGACATTTCTTGTTCTAATATAATCAAATTTCAAGAATCCCTTGCAAAAAATAAGGTAAAGTGGACATTCGCGCGCGCAAGACGAAATCCTTCCAAAACCTTAGTGTTCGCAGCGATTTTAACATAAAAACATCAAAAAACCAATGGTTTTTCAACAAAAAAATGTCAAAATCTCATCCCGCGCGCTCTTGCGGATTCGTAGGAAACCCAACACTTTTTAAACATTTCTGTCAAACGGGCTTTTGCGAGCAACTTTTTCGAACTTCTGCGACAACGGTTGCGCACCTGCCAGGGCCATCATCCCTGTCAAATAATACCATGCGGGACACATTCGTTTTTTCTTCGCGCGCGCACGCCGTCGTCGTCGGCCGCGGGGCCCTGAATAGTAGCCACGGTCGTCCGCATGCCACGAAGTGAAGTGTCCGAACGTCATAGGGC